ACTGTAAACTCTACAATTAAGTCTTGGTTTTTTTGTTATCCAACGAGTGGCTTATTTTCATTGTAAACGATGAGCTACAACATATTTTCTTCTCCAGATCTACGACTGAAATCATTATTCACATTTAACAAAATTAATATAAACAGATGATTCAATTGTTAAGGGTTAAAATTAATTAAAGCATTTTCTTGTAGCTAACTTGAAGGTAGACAATACCGATACAATTTATATAATTTTTATTTCCATTAGAAAAGAGAGGCGAAAGATACCAGAGGGACATTCAAACTCATAAGTCAAAAGAATAAACAGACAATGCCATGGCTGAAAAAGATAAAGACCAACAGACAAACAATAGTACACAAAACACAACATAGTATAAGTTATAAAGTATATATTCATATAAAACATGTAACTTTTATAAAACAAATTAACCAACACTGGGTCGATGCCACTACTGCTAGACGTTTGATACTTAAGGGTATCACCAGCCCAGTAGTCAGTAATTTTGTGGTGACATGAAATATCATTTGCTGTAAATTTACCGTTTTCAAATGTTGAATTTTTCGCAACACTAAGATTTCTCTTCCCTCAGGAATAGATTTTCCGTATTTGGCACAACTTTTAGAAATTTTCGGTTTTCAATGCTTTTCAACTTTGTTTTTGATTTGGCCTGCCGACTGTTTTAATTCGATCGCCAATGATGGATCTTATGCAGACGAAACGAGCGCCTAGCGAAAAAAATATAAACTTGCTATCTGTAATGAGTTTTTGCAGATCATCCTATCCTCTTTTATTTTCCAGAAAGTGATAATTATTGTTCGGTAGAAAAAAACTGTTTTATAGACTTGAATTTCACAAACAATGATATACATTTTGAAAAATAAAATAGAAATGTTAAATATCATACCAGGCATCAAATTAATAATAAAGATATATAAAACAAATATTATTTCAACTGTAAATGCATCTTCTTTCTGAGCTCATTCTTACAATTGTCCTCATTGATCTTATCATTTTTTTTTTTTTGCATTTTTGTCTGTATTTATATGTGACCATATTTTGCTGAATCTGTATGTCATATCATCACTTTGATTGTTCTGTTGTGCTAACAGTTATTCGTTAAAGATTACACATGTGCTGGACAATTTACTAGTAGAAAATAACTCCAAAAAAAATGTCGTGAATTATAGTCAGACCTGGGGTCAATTACATGCCAGAGTAATTAAGAACATTTCAATTACATTGATTTTTAAATGTAATTAATTACATCACAATTACATTGGTTTTCAAATGTAATTAATTACATTTCAATTACATTGCCAATGTAATTAATAACATTTCAATTACTTTTGTCCAAAGACATGTAAGAGCTCTATCATTTATAATAAAATCATTAAAATGACAACAGGAAAGAATAGAATGAAACTTTTATATATACATGCACTTTTTTGCAGTGAAAACATTTGTACAAGCTATGTTTTAAGTTTTCAAATTTCTAACGGCATTGTTACATTTAATCATCATTAGATTATTGATTGCATTTCTTATTTTTATGGGGAAAAATTTATTAAGATATATATATATATATATATATATAGATATAAATGAATGTATTTTTTTATTCTTAAGAATAAAATTCTTAAAACTTAAAAGTTTCTTCTAAAACCATTTATTTCAATTATTTTTATATTTCTTAGTTACCTCATGTGAACTTTGAAGTAACCTTCAAGATACCCTTTATCCATCTGAACATATTTTAACATATGCATATGATGGTTTAAAATAAAAATTGCCGTTGGCATTTTAATCAAGGGACATTCTTTTACTACATAATTAGTTAAGTGAAAGGAATAACTTGGAGCTATGATTATTGTTAATTATTAGAACAACATATTTACAAATTGTTAATCATGTAAATAAATTTGTATTGTTCTTGATTTTTTTATTTTGTTTTTTTTTATGTAAACATGTGAAAAACATAATGAATTAAATACAAATAAAGATTATTATACATGCTATAATGATTAAGGAAGTATCAAGGAATGCTGCCTTTTTTTTCAACATGATGAGTGTTTAAAAAGTATAAAAATAAGTACCCAGTGCATACTAAATGCAGGGAAAATATAGAATACAAGTTGCATCACAAAAGCCAAAAATTTAAAATAAAATTTCCAAGCAAATATTTTAATGTAATTGAAAGTAATTGAAATGTAATTCATAATTACATGGCAAAAAGGCAATGTAATTCATTACCTTCAGTTACATGTAATTAAAAATATGCTCTATTACACATTACACTGAATTACTTTCAAATTTGTAATTAATTACAGCTAATTACAATTACATTTTAATTACCCCAGGTCTGATTATAATTGATTAATGGATTTTTTTTTCGAATGTTAACTGCCACTTTTCTATCTGAATATTATTTTCGGGGATTACATGAAATCAATTGAGAAATATATTCTTCCAATTTAGTAACTTAAATTTTCAAATGCTTCGGAAGGCTAGTTACTTAAAATTTGAGTACAATTAACCATCTCAGGTGGATAAATACCATGATTAACGAAGTTTAGTTGTAAAATCTTTTTTTCCCTTTGTCTTTAACAAAGTATTTGTTTATATCTTATTTCTGTTTACTGTTCTTATTTAAAAGTTTTATTTTATAAGCCCATGGGGCCATATGCTTTGCTTGAGTTATTACATCACCGGGCTTTCGTTATCATCGAACACTTAATTTTCATAAATCACTCCTCTAAAGCAAATGTTCATACATCTCTCCTCTTAAGGCAATGGAACAATTTCTACTTATTTTGGACTAACTGGTACTTAGGGTATTTAGTATAAATGTTACTGTTTTTTTCTTATTACTGCCAATCAACCAACATGGCCAACAAAGTGAACAACTAAGTAGAAAGAGATAAAGTATGAATACCACAAATGATCTGCAAAATATCATCTACAAATAAGTCAAATGTCTGAATCAATTTATCGACTCCATGTAGGAGTTATAGCCGTTCAGTAACGATTTGGACCAAATTTTATGGGTTTTTTTTTTATGATGAAACATATAAACAGGCAAAGGATCACCTGTACCTCGGATATTATATATGACTATACCTGTATAGATGTGATGAATCAAAAGCGCTTGTCTGTTTTTCTTTTCATCGTGAATTATTCAAAACCAAACATTGTAAACATGGTAAAGTCACATATGACTAAAGGGGACGTGAAAGTTAACTAACCATCTACAGTATCAATTCCAAGGTAATATCACAGTGATATCAATGGGTAATGCAAGATATGATTATCATCAAAAGTGTTTTGATCAAATTTTCAAGATTACTTAAAGCTGAATAATACTACCGTTCTATTTACATTTTCATTAGTCAGTTAGTGTTAAAATTTGCTCCGCCCACAAAATACGAATTAGTAATGAAAAATGAAGTATTGGTGTTCATTTATTTTAGAAATGTATGGTGGGTTTATTTTGTTTAGTTATATCTTTTGTTAATGTTATTGATTTTAATTATTTTTTGTCTGAGATAAGTGTCAACTAGGCTACTTAGTCCAGGTTTGTGTACATCTTATTTTAAAAGGAGGGAAGATACCAATTAGGGGCAAGAAAGAATTATAGGTCAAAGGAAAACGAACAACACGATGGCCAAATGAAGAACAACGAACAGACAGCAACAGTCCACAAAACATTACTTCTAATTTAAAGGATAAGTTAACAAAAAGTAGGTGTAGTTTGAGCAGTTTCACTGCTGAGTCCCTGTCGAATTTCACTGTTATTATCACTAATTAATCTAATGGGTTTTAGAAAAAAACATTTTAATTAGCTACTTACGAGAGTTATCAACATCATAGGAAGTAAAATACATGCAGACTTGAGAGAATTAAAATCCAAGCAGATCAGTCAGCCAAAAGGTAAAAGAGTTATTGCCAAATTTCCTATAATTTATATCACACCAGGTAAATTTTTTAAAGTCATTTATTCTTTTCTTATATCCACAGTCTCATAGCATGCATAGATTCATACATTTGTGTCTTAATTCAAACATCAATTAGTTAGTTCTTAAAATAAGACTAAATTCATACATGTCTAAGGATTTCTCAAAACTACAAAGTTGATTAGCGCAGCAATTATCCAACAATGTGTACCTGTAAGAAAGATGTTCTTAACTAAAGCTAGACTTATATTTGAAGTAATTATATTTATTCCATATTTGTATTATTTTAGTAGGTTTATTTATATGAATTTGATTTTGAAGAAAACTGCATATTCACGTGCGTAAAAAGTAAATTCATCGCGCAAAACGCGAAAAAAATCGTAACGATAAACTCGTTTGATGTACATATGGTTTGGTGAATAATTGTCATAACATACATTTACTCTCTTGGAATACGGAAGAAAACAATTACTGTCTTTTGTTTCGGTCAATATGTGGTTTAATTGACTTTTGATATCAGTTTTTCAAGTCAATAAACCCACATATTAACCTCATCAAAAGACAGTAATTGTATTTCTAGAATAAGAAATGAATATCAATAAAAGTGTTCTTCGATGACTAATAAAAAACATAAGGGGAGCAATTTGCAATATTGTCTTCAACGACGATGTGTACCGGTGGAATACATTTTTTTATTTAATAAGATAACATGTAAAAAATTAAGAATTGTGACGCTTCCTCTTTGCTTCTGGGAGTTGCAACCTTAGGTAAAGCAATAAATAGAAATTTTAAGGTGAAAATTTTAAGATAAAATGTTCTGCTGATGCATGGCTGTGTCATTTTTAAGGTGAATGATTGAAATCCCTACAGCGCTTTATTTATATTTATTTGCTAGATTTAGAAGTTAAAAATTCTATTTATAACTCAAACAACCATTCATATGATATATCACAACGTATAGTGTTTACGTAAGCAATCATGTGACTAAACGAAATAACTTCCTTCTTGTGTACATTGGCAACTACTTGTTCCAGTTGGTCACTTAGTATGTCTTTAGGAAGAAAATATAGAGGCTAACATGCAGGTAATTAAATAAGCAAAGGCATGATATTGGTATGGAGATTCACAGTTAATTGTGTAACTGAAAAACTAGGCATGTAAGGTGGATATCAGCAGGTTAAGTACTTTGAACTTTCATTTGAAGCGAGCATTTCACTGATACTGTTATTACCGATTTCATTACCATTTTGTTTTCGATTTACAGGTATAGCAGAACTGTGTAGTTGGGTCTGTGTCTCATAAACGTAAACCGTATAACTCATTTATTCGTATTAACGGCTTTAAAGTACTGATGTTCATGGTATGCTCTGGTATGGACCTTTTAGTCATTTCAATGACAATTGGTATAGTATATCCCACATCTCCTTTAGTTAATATACACAAGAATTAAACATCAATTAAATACTAAAAATAATCAATAAATAAAGAGACTCTTGACAGTTAGTAAAAGGCCTCTAACACAACAGGTTACACATAATAGCAATATGTATTGAGCCATGTTATATATCAATCTACCCACAAGTAGTACAGGAATAAGTGTTACTGCATTGACGTTTTAATTGTTGGAGGATACAGTCTATCCATTAATTTTCTAAATATATTTTTTACTCTTATAATATCCAAGTGTTCTCTTCTTGCAACTGTCCAGAATGTAACTCGTTTTATTCATGATCATAACAAGGGTCTTATGATTTATTATTAAAACGTTATAAACATAATGTCAGATAATTTTACATACTTCAAAAATATTGAAAGAAATAAACTTCTTTTTCCACCACTAACAAGAATGTAAAAAGTTTATTCTATTTCATAAAATGCTCGTTTGTGTTGAAGACGGAAGAGTCTCATCGTTATAATAATAAATAGCGATATGCTTACATCCACTCTTTTTGAACTTTGGTGGCAATCATACCACATCTCCTTATTTTTATATTGTTATATTGTCTTCATTGTATCAACAAAACTATTAATAATGTTTTTATTTACTTGCCACATCATGCACATATCTGTCTGATTTCTGATGCCTATATTTGAATTTGAAATTTAAGGCATATTGTAATCATTTCATTTAGGTTAACTTTTTCCCATTGTTATTCAATTATTTTAATAAATGTTTATCTTGAAGAAGCTATCCGAATACAAAAACAAAAAAACAGAACCTATCTAATATTTTCTCTCTTTTTATCAATCGATTAAATGAAAGAAAAAAAGCCTTATATTTTAGACGGTCTAATCTTACCAGCTCCCTTTGACAATATCATTAACTTTGATAACACAATGTCTACAGTGCCTAGTATGTCGAGTGCACGTGATTTCGATTGAAACAAAAGTCTAGAAATGTCGGCCTCTTTTATTTTTCAGTGTTTATGAAAGACTGTTTGAAGTCAATGATTTCATCAAATTAAAGCTTGCTTCATATCTTCGGGGCAACATAAATCCATTTGTCTATTCTAAAAGGTTGTAAGACATCTAGATGTATCTGTTTATTTGCTTAAAATGCTCTATTTCGTTAGGGTTGAAGTCATATGGATCTGAAGTTCTGAGGTGAACGATGAACGAAACGGTCGCGACTCCCTCCTATTGACTAACGTAAATCGATATTTGCGAAGCACACTGTTTCTGAGTTTTCTGATGTTTCGAATTAGCTGTTAGTGTTATATTCTATTGCTACGTATATTTGCCGGTTATTCAATATTCCCAGCCCCATCATTTAAAATTTGAAAACTTTTTCTATTCATAATATATATATTGATTGTAAAGGTTATTTTTGGCGAAAGATGACCAAGTATTTACCGAACGTTTTTACTGATGTAAGCCTTCTAATTTTGACTTACTATATTTGAATTACGAGAAGATATGCTAGTTATAATATTTATTCATAGTAGAGGAAAAAAGACAAATTAAACAATTTATTGGTCAATAATTCTGTATTTATTTTTAAGGTGTTTTAAATATGGCTACAACATGTACAACCGGGCAGAGGTTTTGTGACATTTGCAATCATCGACACATTACCAATCATGCTATTTTCTGGTGTCCAGAATGTGACGAGAATTATTGCGAGAAATGCAAATCACATCATGATGTTGCAAAAGCAACAAAGAAACACGAAACAATTTCTATTGAAAATGCTTTAAAGATTCCAAAAGTTGTCCAAGATATAAAAATTAACTGCACAGATCACGACGAACGATTTGTTTATTTTTGTAGAGAACACGAACAACCCTGTTGCATTAAATGCCTGAACGATTGTCACACTGGTTGTCGCAGTTTGATTCCTGTAGAAACAGTCATTCAGGATGTAAAACAATCCACTTCATTTTTAGATCTTGAATCAACACTATCTGATTTACTGTCAAATATATCTACAATAATTGAAGATCGAACAGCAAATCTTAAAGAGTTAGTAAAACAAAAAGTAAACTGTGCAGAAAACGTCAGAATCTTCAGAGCATCCCTAAATTCTTATTTGGATGAATTAGAAAAGAATTTAACCAACAAACTGCAAGTAACTTATAAATCGAAAGAACTTGAGATACAAAATTCGCTGGCAGATCTTGAATTACGTAAAGCTAGGGTTAATGAAATGCAGGAGCATGTAAATATTCTAAGAAATAGTGCATCAGAATTTCAAATTTTTATGTCGATTCCTGAATACACAAAAAGCGCTCATTCTTACGAAACCGAGCTGCAGGGTTTGTGCGAGAATGAATTATTCAACTGGACTAATATTACACTAAACCCCACAAATATCATGTCAATAAAAGATTATCTTACCTCTTTTGGAACTATAAGCGTGAAAAGAAAGGCGTCTAATACCCCCCTGAAATTGCAAAAGACTCGGCAAGCACAACTAACAGGTGCTAGAAGTGTCACTAGGAAATTAGTGACGATGCAATTTGAAGGAAAATATCGATTGCATATCCCAGATGGAGATAGTCAACATGAGATTGTAGATTGTAACATTTTACCTAATGATGAATTTCTATTTTCTGATTGGGGCAACAAATGCCTATACAAGTTCTGTTCTGGCAAGGCTTATAAGATTGGTTTACCATTTTCACCTATACGATTTGTAATAATTGATAAAGGAAGCATTGCTGTGACGACCACAAACAATGTTCATGTAATAGATTTGAAAAGCTCTACAATTTTGAAAACATTTCTCCAAGGAGACAATTTCAAACCTAGATCAATTTTACTCGAAAACAACACCTACATTATAGAGGACCAAGATAAAGGATACATAGTATTGGATCTGAATGGAAGAGTGGTTAAACGCATTCCTATTAACTATACAAATACGTGCCGTCGTGCCACTGTATGCCTTGACGAAAACCTTTATTTCGTGGACTACAAAAGTCACACACTTTTTTGCTATGATCTTAATGGCAAGAAGATATGGGAATTTCAGAATGAAAAAATTAAATTCCCTTACGATCTCACATCGAATAGTTCCAATATTCTTTTTGTCTGTGGATATGGGTCACATAATGTGTGCGCGGTTTCGACAGACGGCAAAACAATCAAGGAGATAGTTGGTCCAAAAACGGCCCTAAAAAATCCTATGACACTGCATTATTGCAACAAAAAGAAGACTTTGCTTGTCGTCTCGAGGGATGGAGATGTATTTATATATAATGACATTTCATGATCATCATAAGTTGCTGATTTTACCAAATTTATATTTTTGTCCCCCGCGCAACACGTTAAGGGGGACATAGAAATAACGGGCGTCCGTCTGTTCGTCCGCCGGGTCTTGTTAGCGCTCTCACAGGTACAATTCTTGGCAGATTGTTATAAAACTTATATTATAGGTTTATATCAGCAATGGATGGACGAGTTCGAAAATGAGTGCCGATGAACTATTTTTAAAAGAGTTATGCCCCTTGGAAACATTAATTATATGGAAAATTACATCATTAGCGCTCTCATGTGTACAATTTTGCCAGAATATTATGAAACTTATATCATAGGTTTATATCAGCAATGTCTTTGACACTTTCGAAAATAAGTGCTGATCAAATATTTTTACGAGTTATGCCCTTGGAAATATTAATTATATCGGAAATCACATTGAATATGCTCTGAAGCATTCATTTCTCTAAGATATTTATGAACAATTCTAAAGAACAAAACAAAAGTGTATTTTTAAGTTATTGCCCTTGTACCCTGGATAGATAAAATATGTGCAACGCGGGGGACATTGGAACTCTGTTCTTTTATCTATAAATATAAGATCAAATAGATACCGATATCGTTAATCGTTAAGGTTCTGTTTGAATCAAGCTTAATGGGTATTATAGCCCTCAGGTGCTGTCTAGTTTGTCCAATCAATTATTTACCTACATATTTAAATGGGCAGCAACCGGTTAGGAGACCGGGATCGGTATGTCACTGTTTACGTGGGATCATAAAAAAGTGAGAATATTAACAGACATCAGCCGGCCTTTCACGATTGAACTGCATTATAGTTGACATATTGCATTACCTCAGTTCTTATTATGTAACCTACACCAAAGTCAAGTTATATATTGTTATTTCTCAGTGTCTTTGTTTATTTGCTCCTCCTCTTGTCGATATGATCCTTTATATATACGAAGCAGACTTCATGTATGCGTTTCTAATATTAATAATAACAAAGAAGCTAGCATTATCCTTTAATTTCACTATCCGCTATATAGGTGATGTCCTCTCACTAACTGATTCAAAGTTTGCTGAATATGTTGAACGCACCTATTTCATCAAACTAGAAATAAAAGATACCACAGATAAAGTTAAGTCTGCTCTTATATTGACATATCTAGAAATTGACAACGAGTGTCGGTTGAGACCGAAACTATATGCTGCTTACAAGGAAGTCAATTAATCAAGGGTTCAAAATGATAAAGTTGAAGTCTTTCGTGCGAATTTTTTACGAACGCCATCATGAGTTGTTTGAGCAATATGGAATTTCTGTGTCACAGATGACCACGGACATGTTCCTGTTGTCCTAACCACAATCTCATCTTCTTTTCCTCGATTGTTACATCACCGAATAAGACATATCGCCGAATTTGTACTTACCATGAGTAACACGACAGGGCTACTAGTTGAGCAGGATATGCTTATTCTTCCGGAGAACCTGATATCACCCCCTGGTTTTGGTGAGGTTCGTGTTGCTCAGTCGTTAGTTTCCTGTGAAGTGCATAGTTAGTTTGTTTGTGTTTTTCGTCGTCTTTCGTTTTTTGCAATGAATTGTCAGTTTCTCTCGACTTTTGGTACCATCTGCCTTTGTTTAGCAGTTTATAACAAACTATGAAACTTAATGAAATATAATAATATTTTACTACCTACTTTTGCAAAACATCCGCTGTTACCATTCAAAATGCAAAAAACGAAACATTAAAAATGGCCAAACTTAATTATACTTAAAAGAAATGCATTATTATTATTTAGGTGATTTAACACAGCTCTATGCAAATATTTGTTTATTTATCTATTTTTATTTATTTATTTATTTATTTATTTTTATTTTTTAATTTATTTATTTATTTATTTATTTATTTATTTATCTATTTATTTATTTATTTATTTATTTATATATTTATTTATTTATTTATTTATTTATTTATTTATATATTACTTATTTTTTATTTATTTAACAATAAACTTGGGAAAGAAAAACTCATGCGTTACCTACAAACTATTTTGAGTGTCGTATAACGTCCTATTAACAAGCTTTCAGTAACTGCGAGTACTCTCAAATCGTACTTTCGTGTTAATTTGACCTGTTGATACAATTTGTAATGTATTTTTGTTATTTAATTTTTACTTATTTAGTGTTATATCTCGTTTCACTATTTTTAATATATACCACCTTTGATAAGTGAGTAGTATGACGATAAATTTTCACTTTTGTTCTCGTACTAGGAACAACAAAATTATGTATTTTGTAAAAATTATTTCCGTACTCCATGTATACCTTACAACAAAATTATTTGTATTTACCTGTGTACGTTATTTTATTTGGCGACATTTTGTCCAAGGTTATGGTTGTCTTTCGGATAGTTTTACATATAACCCCCTTGTTTTATTAATTTTGTATTTACATTGTGTCATAGATCAAATTTATTCGTTCAGTGTATGTTCACTTGTTTTTGTTAATATGTCTTTTGATTGAGTTAAGCCATTTCAATTGATATTTTATAGTGTGTCTGTCTATGTTGTGATGTTACACTATTGTTTCAGGTAGGGTGAAGGTTGGCGCCTATTAAAACGTTTAAACCCGCTGCATTTGTTTGCACCTGTCCTAAGTCAGGAATCTGATGTTCAGTGGTTGTCGTTTGTTGATGTGGTTCATAAGTGTTTCTCGTTTCTCGTTTTTTATATAGATTAGACCGTTGGTTTTCCTGTTTGAATGATTTTACACTAGTCATTTTTGGGGCTCTTTATAGCTTGCTGTTCGGTGTCAGTCAAGGCTCCGTGTTGAAGGCCGTACTTTGACCTATAATGGTTTTCTTTTACAAATTGTGACTTGATTGGAGAGTTGTCTCATTGGCACTCATACCACATCTTCATATATCTATTATAAAATATTGTGTAATGTAGCTGAAAACATCAATCAACAAATTCATTTTGAAAACTAACCGTCGACGAAATTAAACAAACATCATCACGAAGTAGATTCTGAAACTTCAAAATCCAAAGAAAAAACAAAAACAAACTTTACATTTGTAAACTTTAAAATCGGTTGATCTGGGTCAATACATTGATGTCCTGTAGTGCAAAATAACATAAAATACGCAATATTCTTGACGAAAAAGGCCAAGTGGTTGTTAAGCATGAATCAATTACGAGATTTAAAAAAAATTGTTTCTTGTTCTTGAATATAACTTGGGCTCTGGAAACATTCTAAGCATGGTACAAATTTAATATGAATTTCAAAACAAACTAAGACTAGGATGGACTTCAAAACGTATCCCCTTTCCGATTGGCTTTGCCGGATGAAAAAAAAATCATTATCCAGTAATAAATCAAATGCACGCCCTCCAACCTTGTCGATTGATTTTTCCGATCCTACATACAAGATTTAATATGAATTTGTTCTTGTTCTGTTTTTGCATGAAATATTTGCTATTGAACTTTAGGGAAACAAGTGAACGAAAGATCAAATAATCAATCAAAGCAAATAAAAATATCACAACTTATGTACAAGTATTAAAAATATATAAATAGTAAAATAGAATATATTATTTCAATCTCGTATATAACAGTAATTAATTAACATAAATGATTCTTCTTTCACAAGTAGGTGTTACTGGGAGTACCTATTATACATGAAACCTTAAACATGACGATTAAATTGTAATTTTTAAGACATTTGTTATTTTTTTACATTTTTATGGTGAAATATCTGAACGCACTATTTATTCATTGATATGTTTGTTGATAGTTAAAGACCTAACTATTTGACAGTAAAGTGGTCTATTGCATGACCAAACCTGGAACAAAAGATATCAACATAAAAGTACTGCAAACAGTAGAAAATGAGATTGGAATGACCTACCTTCCATGCCGAACAAACATTCGTCGGATCTGAATTAGCGATTGTATCTGCCGTACCGATTGCAGGAAATAGAGTTTAAATCAGGCCGTTAGTTTTTTCGTTTAAATTTACCATGGCTTGCTATGTGGTAAAGGTTTTGCTCATTGTTAAAGGGTGTATGGTGACCTATAGTTGCTAACTTATACGTCATTTGGTTTGTGGTGGAAAATTGTCTCATTTGCAATAATGCCACATCTTTTTGTTTTTACATATGTGTTTTGTTAGAATACTTACTCTGTAAGGTGTGAAAAACAGAGTTGAAGCTTTGACAAATTCTCGAGTTTTACCATATATAATGATACAAATTTAAAAATTAATTAATTTCCTTATCGAATCACAAAAAAAAAAATGGGGATCGAATTTGCAAATCTCCTGATCATATTAGATATGAGTGTAACATATATTTGTGATATCCTTAACTATTTTATGTTAAATTGAATTTAAATTTTTTAATTCCCATACAGTTTGAGGTGAAATCCGAGAATCCCACTTGCTCAATAATTAAACTCACATGATGTTCGTAAATATCTATTATACCGATTTCAGTACAAAGTGACACTACAATTATTTCTGGAATCGTAACCTTCATCAGATACATTCACACAGCTTAAGAAAGTAAGTTCATCAATTAACATTTTCGCGGCATCAAATTTAAACGGGCGAGGACAGACAAAACGTCTAATGTCACCATTGCCTCGGGGAATTTTAACCTTACGTTTAGTTGAACTACTTAATTTATGAACTGAAAAAACAGTACATAAATCATGACAGTACTTAAGCATGACTATGCTATAATTAAATGCAAAACGTATTGAAATCCGTTTGGCACTTTACTTTCAAATATTGTACCTGAGATCATCCCCAGTTTTGGTGGCGTTTGTGTTGCTTAGTCTTTACCATTCTATTTTATATTTTGTGAATCTTTTTGTGTTTTCGTTGATATTTCGTTACTTGCAATAGCGTTGTCAGTTTCGACTTTTTCGAGTTTTGAATGTCTCCTTGGTATCTCCCGCTTTTTTTTTTTGCCATAACTCATGCTACCTTTATTAGATAGGTCCCATCTTTAGTGTATCAAATAAAATACCATTCATGTAACGTATCACGCGGTTGACAATGTAGAATGTTTACGTAGTCAATCATGTGACATAAAGAAATACCTTCCTTGTTGCATACAGTGTCAGATATCTTTCCTGCGTGTCTGTTAATTATTAATATAGAGAGTAACATGCAGGTAAATATAATTATGGAAAGGTAAAATATATGCCTGTAATCTATATTTCAGGTATTTTAAAATTTGAAAACAAAGAATGTAAGATGGAAATATCATGTCAATATGAAAATAAAAAGATGCGGTATGATTGCCAATGAGACAACTCTCCACAAGAGACCAAATGGCACATAAATTAACAACTATAGGGCACCGTACGGCCTTCAACAATGAGTAAAACCCATACCGCATAGTTATCTATAAAAGGCCCCGAAATGACAAATGTAAAGCAATTCAAACGAGATAACATAAACGGCCTGATTTATGTACAAAATAATGAACGAAAAACAAATATGATATACAGCAACTAACAACAAGTCGGTTAAGTACTTCGAGCTTTCATTTAGTAACAGCGAGAATTCGTACAGTAAATAATTCTTTTTGATGGGTTGTATTTATGATTTTGTTTCAATGTTTCTCAGTTTTTTTAACAATTGTGTCGTAGGGTCTCTGTCATAGACGAAATCCTACACTTCCTTTAACTTTT